TGACCCGTGTTGTTCTGGTCAGCTGACCCATGTTGTTTGGATCAGGTGACTCGTGTTGTTCTGGTCAGCTGACCCGTGTTGTTTGGATCAGGTGACCTGTGTTGTTCTGGTCAGGTGACTCGCGTTGTTCCGGTCAGTTATTCCAGTTCTTCCTGAAAGTCCTGATCCAGTTCTGGGGTGGCTCTTTTCCCTTTCTTTTTAAAGTGGTTCTGGACCTCAGTTCTCCAGACCTTCTAAAGGTCTTCCAGAGAAACTGGCTCCTGAGGATCTTGGGCAGCAGGTCCTACAGAAGTGATTCTCTGGTTGTTCTTGTTCTGATGAAATTCGACTCTTAGATCAAAACCGGTTCGGATTCGGTTCAGTTCTCTGCAGAACTTCAGATTCTTCAGAACAAAAACAATCCCATGAGTTTGGTTCTGATCTGAACTGCTCCTGTTTTTTCCTCAGGTCCAGATCTCGGCTCAGAGATCCCCACGGGTCAGCCAAGCTGTGGTTCTCACGGGTCAGCACCGGCTCTCTGACACTGAGGTCCGACTGCACCAACTGGTCCTGCAGCAGATGGACTACGAGATCCACATGTCCCGATACGCAGAGACCAGCAGGTTTCTGAGGACCCCGCAGGGTAAACACACACACAGGACTTCCTGTCATGTGACCTGGGTGGAGACTTCCTGTCCAGCAGCTGGAAACAATCAGATTCCTGGAGTTTCAGAACCCAAAGTCTGGCTCAACATGGGACCCACTGAAACTGGATCAGACCTGATCCTGGTGACTCTGCTGAAAATACAACCTTTAGTTTTGGTTTGTTCTGTCTGCAGAACCGTTCTGTGAACTCCAGAACCACTTCCAGGTTGTCCTCGTCCAGATTCAGCTTCTGTCAGCACCAGTTCATTGAAACTAAAGGAAACCAGCAGAACCCTCTTGTTCCACAAACAAACAAAAACTTTAAACAATCTGTTTCCACCACGTTTGTTTGATTAAAAATAAGATGAAATAAAAATAATCTCAAATAAAATATAAATGATAAAAGTAAAAACCAAGATTATTGCCTTCATGATTAATTACAGGTGTTTGACTCCTCCCCCATGTCTCCATGGTTACAGGTGTTTGACTCCTCCCCCCGTCTCTGTTTTTGGGTGTTTGCCATCTCTTCTTGTCTCCATGGTAACAGGTGTCGGTGGATGGAGCCTCCTGCTGTGTCTCAGTAGCTCAGAGCAGAGCTGTCTTAGGAGGATCAACTTCTCTCACCTGCAGCAACATCAGATGGTGAGACTCACCTGTTCTAAGTTTCCTGGAGTCACCTGATAGGTTTGATGACATCACAGTTTACCAGTTTGTGCACGTCTGCAGGTGAACTTTGTGCCCGGACTGATGAAGGCCTTTTCAGATGCAGGTGGAGGTGTTTGTCACTTCTACACTCACTCTCACCTGACAGGTGAGTCTTTTCTATGTAAATCTCAGGAGGCGGAGCTTATTTCCAGGTGAACAGAAAACAAAGTTTATCTAAAAAAGTTAAATCTGGTCCTCTGGACATTCAAAAAAACAAAACAAAGCAAATCAACAAAAAAAATATAGAAATGTTTCGTCTCTCATCCTGAGGACTTCCTCAGTCTGAGGCGCTGTTTTCAGCTCAGTCTCTTAAATAGCACCTTCTCAGAGTGGATCAACCAGTTTGCTGCTGACAACCAGAACCAGCTGATCACATGCTCAAGAAGGACCATCAGCCTAACAATGGATCATTAGCACCTGATGGCTGTTTACTGTTCACAGAGGGCTGAGTGATACTAGCAATCACAGCATTGTAAGAGGGGGACAGTTGAACCTGGAGGCTCCACCCCTGTTTAATGATGGACGGTTTCTTTTCACAAAGATGGCCTCCTTTACTCCTCTCTCAAACCATCGTTCCTCTCTGTCCAGGATGTTAACATCTTCAGAAAACAAAGTTGTTTATTTTTCTAATGAAACATTAAATTTATTTATTTAATTGAGTTTAATTGTTTTTGTTCTACTAGTGCTTAGCATATTTTTAGTTTAGCGTTTTTCTTAGTTCATATCTTTGATCTTATTACTGTTTCTTTTACAATTTATATTTTGCTATTGTTGGATGGAACTGGGAACCTGTGTACACAGTTGACAAATAAAGAGACTTTGACGTTGACTTTAATAAAGTGCAAATAAAGTTTAATGCTGTTGGTTTCATTAAAGGTTCGAGCAGTTTTGCTCTGGTTACCATGGCAACAATCATGATTATTCAGACCACGGTTACATGGTCGTTGATCAGATAATGAAGAGCACCTTTCCTTTCAGAGTCAGATTTACCCATGATGCCTCAGTCCTGTGGATTGAGCAGTCAAAACCCTGACTTTCCTCGGGACAGGTGAGTCTCTTCACCTGTCGGCCTGTAGAACGCCACACGCCATACGATAAACAAAAAGTCTGCTGTTTCCCTGACAGTCGCTTTCCTGTCCAAGCCCTGCCTCCTGCTTTGGTTGCCATGGTGAATGTTTATGTCCTGGTGACCTCTATGACCCCACTGACCTCCTTCCTGCATGACATCATCACAGTGACCACCACTGAGGACTCTTTTGGGCGAAAACATAAGGTGAAACACCTGTCAATCCAATGTTTGTTTGTTTGTTCCTTCCTCTGATCTTTGGCTCCTCCTCTTCCTCTTAGATCAGAGACTTCCTGCTACAGCAGCTTGGACCAAAGACTTCCCATCATGCTTTGGAGCAGATTAAGAATGTGATTGGGGTGGTGCTGCAGGCAGCATCAACCACTGAAAAACAGGAAGCAGCTGGCAGGTAACCTTTGACCTCTGACTTTGTTTGTTGACTCTTTTTACTCGAACCTTCAGGTGAGTGCGTCACATGATCTCTGCTGTGTTTCAGGTGTGTGTTGTGTTTCCAGCTGCTCACCTTCACTCTGCTCCTCAGCGGCTCCAGCACACCTGTCGTCATCCAGGTAAGGGTTCCCATGGCCCCTGATGGCTTTTATTCTGAAGGAACAAACACTTCCTCTGTCATGTTTTGTCGAGTTCTACAAATTACTGGCACACTGGGCTTTTATTTTGAAAGACCAAAGGCTTCCTGTTTTCCAGATCAGGACCATAGCGGAGCAGGTGGCGCCTCCTGGTGGCACAGTTCTAGTTCTTTTCCAGATGATGAGCTCAGAGACATGAAGCTGCTGTCCTCTTGTCTTCAGGTGGACACAGAGTTGACCTTCAACGCTCTGAGAGACGACAAATTCACCAGACAGATCACCAAAGACCACATCCTGGAGGACACACTGCACTTCCTGCTGAGACCAACAACACATCTGTCCTCTGAGACACTCCTGTCCTCTGAGACACATCTGTCCTCTGAGACACTCCTGCTCTTAGAAAAACTGAGGGAAAAGGTGCGTGCAGAAGAGTGAAACTGATTTTATATAAAAAAAAAGAATCTTGGCGTGTAAATCTCACTTACAGGGTAGTGGGCGGGGCCTGCTGGTAAGTGACCAGTCCGAGGAGTCTGAGCTGTTCATGTGTGTTTTCAATGTTAATTAAAATGTTACAGCACGTTGTCTTATATAAACTGACCTTCAGATAAAAACTAAATCGTGTTCTGTTTGTGTAAACTGCCAGTACGGTGGCTGCAGAGGGACACATGGCAGCTGTTTATCGCAGGAAGACTTTCTTCTTCTTCTGCTGCGGTTCGAGCAGCAGCTGAGGAACCCGTCAGCGTTCCACACGGTACGTTTCTGTCTTTGTTCAGGTGGACCCAGAGTCTGCTGCATGAAGCTGCCAGATGTTCAGACCACCACAGGAATCAGATTGAACTTGGTTCTGCTCTCTCTCTGCAGCTGTGCCCCATCACCTCCTCCTCAGGTCCTCTGGGCGTCTCCGACCTCCTCCTCAGGATCAGTCGTTACTACAAGCTGCAGACGATCAGCAGGTGATGACCTGAAGGTTTCAGATCATCTGTCCGTTCTGCCCGAGTCACGTGACCCTGTTTCCTGTTTCCCACAGAGCTGATGGGACCAACAAAGCCTCCAATCAGCTGCCAGAGTCCTCAGGTGAGTGTGACCTTCAGACAGCTTCAGGTGTGTCGCAGCAGCTGTCCAGTCTGAGACGTTCCTGAACCCGACGGATGTCAGAGAGAGATTTTATCATCTGGTCCAATAAGATCAAACCCAAAGCTGCTGTTGGAAAACACAACAAGAAATAAATACTAAATACGTTTAGTGACAAAAGTTAAAATAAGATTAAATCTATTTTACCTGTTACTGCTTCACCTGCACGACTCGGAACAAACTGTTCAGGTACTTTGAGAACGACAACGAAGTCAGAAGAAAACATCCTGGAGGCAGAAACTGTTTACACACAAACAGGAAGTTACATCATCGTTTACTCCTCCACACAAACAGGAAGTTACATCATCGTTTACTCCTCCACACAAACAGGAAGTTACGTCATCGTTTACTCCTCCACACAAACAGGAAGTTACATCATCGTTTACTCTTCCACACAAACAGGAAGTTACATCATTGTTTACTCCTCAATACAAACAGGAAGTTACGTCATCGTTTACTCCTCCACACAAACAAGAAGTTACATCATTGTTTACTCCTCCACACAAACAGGAAGTTACATCATCGTTTACTCTTCCACACAAACAGGAAGTTACATCATTGTTTACTCCTCCACGCAAACAAGAAGTTACATCATTGTTTACTCCACACAAACAGGGAGTTACATCATCGTTTACTCCTCCACACAAACAGGAAGTTACATCATTGTTTACTCCACACAAACAAGAAGTTACATCATTGTTTACTCCTCCACACAAACAGGAAGTTACATCATTGTTTACTCCTCCACACAAACAGGAAGTTTCATCATTGTTTACTCCTCCACACAAACAGGAAGTTACATCATCGTTTACTCTTCCACACAAACAGGAAGTTACATCATTGTTTACTCCTCCAAACAAACAAGAAGTTACATCATTGTTTACTCCTCCACACAAACAGGAAGTTTCATCATTGTTTACTCCTCCACACAAACAGGAAGTTACATCATCGTTTACTCTTCCACACAAACAGGAAGTTACATCATTGTTTACTCCACACAAACAAGAAGTTACATCATTGTTTACTCCTCCACACAAACAGGAAGTTACATCATCGTTTACTCTTTCACACAAACAGGAAGTTACATCATTGTTTACTCCTCCACACAAACAGGAAGTTACATCATTGTTTACTCCACACAAACAAGAAGTTTCATCATTGTTTACTCCACACAAACAGGAAGTTACATCATTGTTTACTCCACACAAACAGGACGTTTCATCATTGTTTACTCCTCCACACAAACAGAAAGTTACTTCATTGATTACTCCTCCACACAAACAGGAAGTTTCATCATTGTTTACTCCTTCACACAAACAGGAAGTTACATCATTGTTTATTCCTCCACACAAACAGGAAGTTACTTCATTGTTTACTCCTCCACACA